ATAGAATAGAATAGAATAGAAATAGAATAGAATAGAAATAGAATAGAATATAGAATAGAGGAGAAATAGGAATAGAATAGAGCTGGAAGGGACCTTGGAGGTCTTCTAGTCCAGCCCCCTGCTCTAGAAGGAGACCCTCTGCCTGTGATGGTGAACCTATGGCACGTGTGCCACAGGTGGCACACAGAACCATTTGTGCAGGCATGCAAGCCCCAGCCAAACTTATTTCTACGGCGCATGCGCACGCCTCCCAGACTGATTTTTGGTCCGTTTGAGGCCGTTTTTGCCCTCCCAGAGGCTGGAGGGAAGCCTCTGCAGCCTCAGGAGACCCAAAAACGGGACTTCCGGAAATACCGGAAGTGCCCGTTTTTCAGCCTCCTGGGGCTGCAGAGGCTTCCCTCGAGCCTCCGGGAGGGCGAAAACGGCCTCAAGCAGGCCAAAAATCAGTCTGGGAGGCAACACGCCTGTGCAATGCAGGTAAGGGGCGGGGTGTGGGTGTGGCGGGCGCATGCACAGGGGGGTGCATTGCATTGTGGGTGCCGGCACACGCGCACAGACTTTCGGCACACCACGACAAAAAAATTCACCATATGCTCTATGCTGTTTCAGATGTGACTTAAAAACCTCCAGTGATGCAGCACCCACAATTTCTAGCGGGGAAGCCATCCCACTGGTTAATTGTCCTCACTGTTAGGAAATTTGGACAAGCTGAAAGACCTTTCCTAGAAAACAAACAGAAAAATGGAGACTATTGGACAAACTAATTCAATTTTTTGTTTTCTGTTTTGCTGACTTGTAAACCTCTGGGAGTTTTTAATGTCAGGGACTGCCCAGCTTTCCCCCAAATACAGATCGTCCTTCAACTTAACGACCAGAGTTGAGCCCATAACTTCTATTGCTAAGTGAATCATTTGTTGAGCGAATCTGTCCCCATTTTATGACTTTTCTTGCTGCCTTGGTTAAGCGAGTTGGCGGCGTCGCTCAGTTAGTAACACGCTTGTTCGGCGAATCCAGCTTCCCCACTGACTTGGCTTGTCAGAAGGTCGCAAAAGGGGATCACGCGATCCTGGGACACCGCAACCGTTATTAATAGGAGTCAGTTGCCAAGGGTTTGAATTTTGAATTTTGATCATGTGACCGTGGGGATACCACAGCAGTCATTAAGTGTGAAAAAAAACCGGTCATACATCACTTTTTTCAGTGCCGTTGCAACTTCAATATGGTCGCTAAACAGACTGCTGTTATAAATTGAGCAGTACTTGGAATGCATTTTGTTTTCTCCTTACGTTTTTTATTTATAAAAAAGATGCCACCACCACACTTCCACGTAAAAAGCAGACTCACACCCATACAGAAGATGAGACACGACCACAGACCAGAAGCCGCACTGCAGCTGCATCACTACCCACTTCAAACCCCTCTGAGCCATACATGAAGCGAACTGACCCCCACCATGAAGATGCAGCACGACCACAAACTCGAAAACAAACAGCAAGATCACAGCTCACCAGCTCAAATCCCCCAGTAACTAAGACCAACCTGAGCACAACCAAGCCCCCACCTGAACAGAACACATCTCCAGCCAATCAGAACATGGCCAACCCCCCAACCAATCAGAACACAGCCAAACCCTCAACCAATGAGAACACACCCCCACCCAATCAGAACACAGCCAAGCCCCCACCCAATCAAGTCACACCCCCACTAGCAGTTAAAAGGAAGAAGCAGCTGCAAGCTCACATCACTCTGAGAAGCACAGAGCTGAAGACAGAAGCCTGAAGATGATGAATGAGACTTCATCGAAACGTTGCCTAGATACTTCCAATCTTACGCGGGAGAAAACCCGAATAACCAAAGATCCACATACAAATACCCGCGAGAACCTCAGAAAACAAATATGTATGTATGTAAGTATGTATGTATGTATATGTATGTATGTATATGTATACATTTTCTGAGGTTTTCGCGGGTATTTGTATGTGGATCTTTGGTTATTCGGGTTTTCTCCCATGTAAAATTGGAAGTATCTAGGCGACGTTTCGAAGAAGTCTCATTCATCATCTTCAGGCTTCTGTCTTCAGCTTTGTGCTTCTCGGATTTGTAGAAAGGATTTGTGGAAAGGATTTGTGGAAAGCCGAAGACACAAGCCTGAAGATGATGAATGAGACTTCATCGAAACGTCGCCTAGATACTTCCAATTTTACGCGGGAGAAAACCCGAATAACCAAAGATCCACACATATATATATTCAGCTTTGTTTGGGTATTTCCCCACGTCATTATAGTTGTGCTTTTAAAGTTGTAGCAATGTTTCGGCAGAATCTCATCTGCCATCATCAGGCTTCTGTATTGTGTTCGTCTGTGAGTCAGACTTTCACAGCCTTTTCTGTTTTAAATTTGGTGCTAGCCTACTGCTGTGCCAGAATGGTTTTTTTCTTCATCTTGATTGGTTGGGATATATCTATATATATATATCTATATATATATTTTCTGACTTTTAAAGGTAATGGAAGCAAAGACTGTGGAGATTCCAGCTCCTTGCTTCTTCCTGAGGGAGAGGAAACAGATCAAGATTCTCCTAGTAAGGTATGATGAATAAATGCAAAAGAGAGGTTGAAAAGAGGAGAGGAGAGGAG